TGGGAAGATCACATAGTTAATAATACCTATTGTGCTTTTCTATTTTGCTTTTAAAAAATGGACGGGATATCATTGTTGGCTAGTAATTCGGTGGTCATCGGTCAAATCGCCACGAACATCAAATATAATCGAGACGCCCTAGGGATTCGTCCATTAACATATCTGTCATGGTTGACACGTTTTACTTAGCCGCAAAGCCATTATTATCTTATCATTAAACACAGTTAGTTTAACAATAGCTTTATAAAACTGAACCCGTGAGGGCTTATACCGCGTAACAAATCCACTGCGTCTAAATCAAACCGCAGAACCAGGGGGCAATTTTGAAGAAACCAAGACACCCCAGGCCACCGAATACAAAACACTCCCGAAAAGACTAGAGATTTAAAACCCAACGACTAAATCCAGCTGTTATAATCCTATACAAAACTGCTGAGATTATCTGGTAAATCGTGAAAATCTTTTATTGATGTGCATTAATGACACATACAAGCTTTGTTGTATCTAGGCGTCTTATTGAAAGTACCATGGTGTGTTTAGTGAATATAAAGTAGGACTTATATAAGAAAATTGTGTTTTTATCATTCAAAAATTTGAATCTGTGATATTTACCAAATTAACTATCATAAGGACTTTCGGGGGAAATCACGCTGAACTAGACTGGTTGATGCAGAAAAGTAGGACGTTAAACCCTCTTTTATGTAGGTGGCAACAATTGATGCAAAGTGACAAAAGTCTGATCCCCTAATTGATAAGCATTCTTTGTGGCTAATACAAATGATTTCCAAATTTGCACCCCATGCCACTAAAATAATTGATTTGTTAAAATGTATTTCTTTTGAACTTCGTGATAAATACTTTATTCAATGAACATCCAATGTAATGATCTAACCAATACTGTTTGAAGCCCATAATGAACCGCTGGTTTGGGATGTCGTGCCGTTCTTGAATCATGACAAATTTCAATTAGTAATTTTTACCAAAAAGAGTCAATAATGTTCATGTCGATTTGTAAATATAAACAAGTAGGCTTATTGATCAATCGATATTCCCAGGCGTGACATTTGAAAAGCCAACTCGTGTTCATTTTCAAAACTGTCAAAGAATATTTCAGAAAGTGACATGGATTATCAATTCAATTATTTATCATATTAATCTTGAGTAGATAAAGCTTGACCTTTGTGCAAAATTCCCAAATAGTGACGCTTTTCAAGCAGTGACTTGCATGAAACATTTTCCTCGAATTTCGCAATGTTTGCTTGTTCCTCGTTTATCAATTTCAAATCTTAAAGTGTGTTTTAAAACCAATAAATTGATTTAATCCGTGGATAAAATTTAGAAATCCTGACGAGAATATTAGATATTAGACATGGGATATTGTACAGGGTGTCGTTATTAAACCAACCTTGTTCTACTGTTAGATTAATGAACTAATATATTTCAGAACGCCAAACATGTGTACTTTCCGAGTGTCTCCATGACAGCGCGAATCAAACAGGGAATTGAGCATTTACTTAGCAAAGAACGAAGCAAACGATTTATTATTTACAAAAGACAATTTACATGGGCGATCGAAAAGTTAGGAATTCAGTAGGCGTTTTGCCACGCCAAGGTTTGTAAATACGTTGAAATCGCTCACAGGTATTAGCCTTATCTCTGTTACGACACACAGTTAGAAATGAAATTTTCTTACAAATTCAGATATGCAAATTGATAGTCAGTTATGCAAATTAATATTCTGACTTCGACAACTAACATATGAAAATATTATTTTAACCATAACGGTTTCTTTGCTGAACAAACTTCAAAGTTGCACCTTATACGACTAAGTCTCCAATTTACATTTCCATTTTTTTTTTACAGTCAACAATGATAAACAGCGCTATTTCCTATCCATTGATGTGTGGACGGCTTAGTTGTTTATGCTTGATACAAACAGGCCGTTTAAGTAAAGTCTCTTACATCAAAGATGAAAGAAAGACGGTTTAGTAACTTACACCCCAGACAATCTACAATCAATTTCCAGTCTGACTAGCGCGTTATTTAACTGGGTATTTCGTGTTAGGGACGATGTGTCCCTATAGTATTTTGAACGTCGACGTCACGTTTCGATATTTTGGAGATCGAGAAAACGATGATTTCTAAAGGGGTTGACACAACTAACAATATTTCTTATATGCGTTGCTTTATAATGTGTGAATATTGAATGAATGACGTTAAAAATCTTCTTCATGTTGTGATAAACCAATGTGGTTCATGAAAACGATTTGATACTGCTTATATTTTTATTTTCATCTTTAGGAAAATGGGTGAAAATTAGAACAGCAATGCTCTACAATATTAACAAGTTTCTGAGATAAGCAAAACAAAATACCTGTAGGATGTACTCTATTTTTTGTCGATAAAATTCAGTTAGGTATATCAGTTACAATGCAAATTTAGAAGAAAGGTTACACATCTAAATCCGATAAAACAATATCATGTTGCAATGTTTGAGGTTGCTTCTGTTTGTGTTAAAGAAAGGCTATCAGTTGCATTACCCAAAAATCTTATGGCGAATGCCGGACAATTAAAATATCAGCAAATGTACATTATGTGTATCTGTTTTTATGTAAATAAATGTCTGCCCCCCCCCCCCCGACACACACACGGGGCAACGCTTACTTCTTTTTAATGTTATATAAGACATCCCAAGATTTGGGTCAAAGTTCCAACATCAAATGGATTAAAAGAGACGTCACTGTAACCTGAGTAGGGCGTTGAAACTATTTTATTTAATTTAATTTCACTGAAATATGTATGTAGGTTGTTTTATTACATAAATAATCATATATCTATTTGTTAAGGGGATTATGCCATAAGTAGTATTTACATTTAAAGCTGGTGATCTCTCTATTTCCTGGATATTACCCTTATTTATTAATTTGATGTATCAGTTATCAAAAAAATCATTACAAAGTGTTAATTTAGAGGGGTTTTGTTGGCCATGTTTTTTTTCGATTTCTTTGACCCCAGCTTCAAAAAATATTATTCAGCGACATCACTCCACCAAAATCTGATGCATCATGAGGAGAGTGTATCAGAATACAGCGGGGAAGTTCAGCTGACAGTCCATATGACTTTTTAGACATGTTTTGTCCTTTCCAGGCCCTCGGTCCCACAACACAGGCAGTGGTAAACCAGGTTGGAAAATCGTGAGTGACGTTCTCGGTCCGAAGCGGATCGAACCCTGCACTCCCATTGTTACTGGGTCAGTGTCTTATTAATTGAACCGCCGTGGTTTCTTTAAAACGGGGCAGGTGGGGGATTTGAAGCATTATTATACTTTTTCAACGGCTAATGAAGCTACAATAGTTGCAGCTATTTCTGTAAAATGTGAAAGAAGGAAAACTAAATAAACTATTCCTCGACATTACCTTTAAAAGTCAAATTAGCACGTGCAGTTTGTCCTAGTAAGTTCCGTTATGCATTATTTATTATCTCTTTCATCGCTATTATATATAAACAGGTCATATATACATGTCTCTATCTACATCGTATGTATATATGACAAAATGACGAGTTTAATTTGTCATAAACCGTCTTAATAATAAATGTCAAACTAATTCTAACGGTTTCAAATTGTTTTCAATACTAATGACTTAGACTAGATTTGAACGTCGGTGTGTAACGTGCTTGAGATAGAAAACTGTCGACTTCATCAAATCATGTCGATTACATTAACTATTATAATAAAAATATTATTAAAATGAGATAACTTATTGGTTTTCCCGAAAAAAACATATGTATATGTACGTATTCATTTCCTTGAGTATGCAAGGAACTGAAACGAAATGGATTTAACTTCTTACTTTTCTGCACCGACTGGGCTAATAAAGAATGGCATACAGTGTCCTGAGAGTGAAATATTGCCCGGAAGGCAGCACTGCCGTCTACTCTTATTTCGAATTCCAACTGTCAAGGGTTCTTTTACGTTGTTCCGTGTAAGGCCTTCCGTACTGCATCACCGACAAGGGGACATGAACAGCCTGATATCGAGACATGGAAAAGATTACTATAGACACAGTGTTCTTAGTCAGAAAAGAAATATGACAATAATGGTGACTTTTATATTTAGTCAATTACCATTAATATGTGATAAAAATCATGTCACTGTCAACTTCCATTGGTTGTCTCGTCTGTCTAATATCAAGAAATATAGAGGCGAGGATACAGCCCACTCCACTGACAAATTACCAACCAACTTTTTGCTTTAGTTTCAAATTAAGTTTATATTTTGCTGCTCTTGTTGTATATTATGTTCTGTAAGGACGTAAATTAAATTTATTTCTGTAAAGAATAGAGAGGGGTCAACATAGGCCCAGCTTGTTCCCCATCCAAATTTCAGATGAAACTGACTCATTTTCACTAACACGAAAATGAAACATGGGAACTTTGTGATGACTCTTATTGACCATCATGCTAATAATTTCAGACTTTTCCAGTCTACCGTACAATTTTTGCGTATTTCCCGGGAATTAACTCGAGGATATTGAAATAATTGAAATATTCTGTCATTTGTTTTATGGTAATGAGGTGGTACATTTATTCGGTAAATCGTATAGCCCTTAAAATAATGGGAAATAAAAAGTGTTGTTTAGTAGTAAAACAAGGCTTCAGCGATAGAATAGGCCTGTAAATAAATAATAATTATAGGGCGTTGCTACCAATTTATTTTTTGGGAAAATATAAAGGTCTTCCATTTTTGTATGCTTTTTCATAAATTGAAAGTTTTTAATACACTTTTATCGCAAAGCTACTGATTACATGTCAGATTTCTCGAGCAAGCCGCTGTAGGTTCAGTATTCGACTGTACAGCGACCGCTATCAACACAGTCCAAATACACCATTACGAATAGAAAATGTCAACAGTCTGTCACACAACGATGTACCTGTCCAAAATATACATCTTTATGTCGAAATAAATCAAGTGTTAGTAAGATAAAGGATTAGGAACTTACATTTTTAGTTCTCCCTCTCTCTTTCTGGTATTCTTAGAGTTCTATTTATAACTTCGAAAGGGTAATTTAGTCAGCGAAATATCCCAAGTTTTGTTTCCTACGTATCGGCCTCCATTGTAACAAGGGGTGCAGAAAAACTTCCCAACAGGTATAACTCAGCCTCGCTTTCAAGTAACAGCGACAATCGTCACGACCTGCTCCAGTGGGTTACGAAGTGAATTTATGTCTTATCACTGAAAAGTCATACTCCTGTTTGTATACAAATGTACTTAATTGTTAATGAAACCATAAGATTTGTTGTTTTCTTTTATAATCGATGTACAATAATGTACTATCTTTATTTTCTGGCCTTTGCTATTGGTGTGATAAAAGTCTCCAAATTGCTGAAAAAGCATTCAGCGTTGACAAAACAACAACTATGGAGATTTTCTTCGTGTAAAACTGGGCGTGGTCTCCGTTTATTGGGAAATCACCAACACGTTATGTAACCCACACTAATTTGTCGCTGGATGATAGATCTTACTTAAAATTGAGATTGGTTGAAAAACAATACTCCTATGTTAAAAGCTTTTTATAATTCTTGAACAAACTGTGGGCATAAACAAATAACTGATGCAGGGCCGGATTTAGACCAACAGAGGCCCTAAGGATGATCCCAATAGGCCTATATGTAATTTCCAATATAAACAATAATATACCATAAAATAAATTTGTATTTTTCAAAATGAGGTTTTATACACGTCATAATTAATTATGAGAAAGTAGACAACAGTAAGGAAGGAGAAAAACAACGAAAAGCTCATTAAATTACATATTTTAACTTTGTCACCTAACAAAGCTAGTTGGTTTCTGCTTCTAATGACAACTGGCATATTTCTTTACTCAAACTTTGGGGTTTCCTTTTAAAATGAAGGTTATTTTAATGATTGAACATTTGGCAACATTCACTAAATAGACATTAGAGTATTTTTGACTGAACTGAATCGTTTTGAAATTAGATTCTGTATATTGTATTTCTACTAACAATCCGTATCCCCGTCCCACATTTTTTCACTATACGAGTATGAAGTACAAGTTTGGGAAAAGAAAATCCAATAATCCTGGACCTATAGAGATTGAATATAAACTAATTCACGTTCGGATACTGGGCAATCAAACACGGTCACAGAGGCACACCTATGTCATTTAGCGAGTCATCATTTTAAAACTTCTCTGAATATTATAACGATTGCGCAAATCAGTTTAATACAATTAGATTACGTAAAAGTTTAAAGTATTTTCATACATTTTTCATGTATATTTTAAGGGTTTGTTTATTAATAAATCTTGCATCAATTTAGTTTCTTTTAGAACAAAAACTAATTTGACCCGTCTATGATAATATAGCATCATCTGAATATATAATTGTCCGTTTTGAGGCCATCTGCTCCTATGACATTTTCTCAGTACTTTATGGTTCCTTCAAACTGTCATAATTAAACTATATTATACCACACCCCATAATAACTATTCTGCTTAAGAGAACTTTAAACGTAAGTTTAAAGCCTATCCTAATCGGTTTTTAAAAAAATGTTTTTGACAATAGAAAGTAAACAGTCATTATTGATATGCACTGACCGTTCTAGTGACGATATGACACATTATGCAATACCACACTTCATGTGGATTTGATTGGACTGTCCGTATCTATCTACCGCCTTTCATTTAAAATTCTGTGCGGATCTCGGTTGAATTTCATCACGTAGCTTATACAATAAACCATTAATTTGTTGTATTAGACGGAAAGGGGGTGTCGTATACTACAATACGTTTAATACATCATTTATATCGCCCAGAAGACCCGGATCACATTGATGGCGTTTTAAAAGCCTGTAGTTAGCACAACGAACAAAACAAAATTAAATCTCACATTTCACATAAATTAACGGAACTCCTCTTGACATGCCATTTTATCCAACATGTGGTATATATCAGAAACTAGCGCCTTTGTTTTTCAAGGAATCCATTCATATATTCTATTTCTGGACTTATAAATTCTGGGGACAACAACTTGATTTTCTTCAAAAAAACAATTAATCTCACCCAGCATCGTGATTTTAAGAACTCTAAATTACTATTTAGCGACAACTAATTGTAACCAAATACTTCTCTTAGATAGTCACTGTTTTATTTGAGAGTGTTAATAAGGTTTCAAGAGAGAGGCAGACAAAGCGAGGTCAAACGTCATAGTGCCATCACATGTAGTATGTAAAATTATAGCCTAAAACACAGATAGCCCAAGTAAAATTCATGTCAAATGCTATTATTCTAGTAAAATCTGTTATAGTAGATATTCCACGTAACGTAGAAATATTCAGTAAAACCATTTTGATAATCCGAGATTTTCCAGTTGAACGAGTCGAAGATGTGGCCACATACGTACATACATGTACATACATATAAGTATTTATCTATTTATAACCTATATATGGAATACGCTAGTATGGCGTATGTATAATATATCACAACTTTAGACTTAGAGTGGGTAGCAGTGACGATTCTTACAAATAAGTTTACTCAATATGGCCCTCATTGTTAAGTTGACGGATAAACCATCACAATGGCCACTCTTATCAAATAAAATGATATATTTACTATTTACACAGTAATATTTCGATACTTACATTCAGTTGAGTTAGTGTCTTCAAACTTAATATAAAGTTTTAGAATTTGTCGTCGATTAAAAATGTGTCAGCGACACCGAGCTACTTTTAGATGTGACGTCTGGGTGCGTCGACCAATGAAATACTGTGTGACCTTCAAGGATTTCCATAAACGTTTGACCGAGAATTACGAAATATTATTTAGCAATTAAATTTAATTATTTGCCAGGAGGGGTATTTGATTTGATATTTTCATAATGTTACAACCCCCCCCCCCTGCCAAAGTTAACTTTAATCATTATTGATCTTCTTCTGTCAGAGTTCTATGAATTTATTTCATCATTTTTGACAATATTTAGTAAACGAGTACAGCCTATAAGCAGTGAAATTGGGTTCTGTTTTATGACCTAAGTTGAAAATGTAGTTAGCTGACTTTAAAAATATTTTATTTTAAGCACACCCCTGTGATATTATATAACAAGATAACTTATATGTTATGTTTAATTGAAGCATTATACTATAACACGAAAGTTTATTTTATAATTTGTGAGAAGTTAATAAAAGTATTAAATGATACAGGGTTAAGCGTCTTATTTTCTGCACTAAGCGTGCTATTGAATATGGGTAAGTATTAAAAGCGGTAGCCTACATGTCCAGTGCAATTTTAACCGACTTCTAAATTAAATGAAATGAAAAAAAAAAAAAAAAAAAAAAAAAACCAACAACAAAACAGGCCAACGAACACGGACAGGAATTCTATTACGTGTTGCACCACTGACAATTGATTCCAGATGTAACACTTATTTAAAGACACAAGAAATCAGATCGTTCACATCCACGTTACTCCAAAAGTCAAGCATGTACACGTGTTGTTAAAATGTGATTATGCACATCTTAGAATACATTCATGGGGAAATAGTATAATCAAGACAAACTAGACTTACAATAACCATAATTTAAATAATTATTGGACAAAACTGTTTTTTAATAAAAATTACTTTTGATCGTGAATCGTTTTAAACTCCATATTTCAAGCGAGGCCCGTATTATTTACATAGTTGTATGATCCGCCAGCCGATCCGCGTACAGTTGATGTATAAAGGGGGATAACCCAAAATATAAGTTTGGATGAAGACCACAATTTCTCCCAATTATTTAAATGTCATAGGCGTTCAAGGTTTTAAAATTAAACTCTGAAAATTCTGGATTTATACGCCACCATCTGTCTTCTCGGTTTTGAAAGGGACAATTTTGGAACAACAAGATTTGTAGATTTCTGAAATGCAACAGACTTAGATAACGTTATCCACCAAATATCCAAAAATATGTTAACTTGAAACTTATTAGTCGCCTGAAAAATAAAATAAAGACAGAACATTTATTTAGATAAAATTACTTTTTTAATTTGATTTACAAAATATAAATTAATAAAAAGGAATATATTATTTAAAGTAAGGATTTTGGTAGAAAAATAGCACTTAAGATAGAAGGGTATTGTCTATTTTCCGGCAGGTTGGGGAGGTCATGTCGGTTGGGGAAGTTAGGCTGGTTGAGGTGTCCAACTCGGCGTATGGGAAATTTCCGACCAACCAAACCCACCGGAAAATACACTCCCCCAGAATGAATAATACGGAATGAAAGTACTCAAATATGTACAATTTTGAAAAAATAAACTACAAACTATTATTAGCTATCAGTAATAATGTCTATCGTACACTAAGTAGAGCAACTGATACCATTTCAACATTTATTTGTGAAGTGGTCATAACTAAAATCTCGTACTTTTGTATTTCAAATCAGAAATGAGTTATTCGATTAGGTCGCTGTTATAGCGAAAGTCCCTCCTATCAATGCCAAGAACTTAAAACTAATTACATACAATTGGCATTTCCTTTCATGTCTTAAACATACATTATGCAAGAGCTAAAACTGTCTATTGCAGGCCTTTCTTTAGGCCTGAAATGTTTCTAAATTATTAATTAGACATTAATTAATTTATCCAGGCCATAATCAACTCTCGGTGGCATCGGATTTCTCCGATAGTATATAGATTAGAACAGTTCGGAGGAGCGATACTTAGCTTCGAACAACCAGTACGGTGGTTGAGATTATTGCACACGTCTTGTCAAACCTTCAAAGGCTAATATCTTTGCTCGCAATAGAGTAATTTGAATGAAATTTTCAAATTATGCATTTAACATTATTTATTTTCGAACTATTATAGCAAGAATGGCTAGCTCTTTATCTAAATCTTACATAATGTATCTTTAAATTGAAATGAAAATGGTATCACGTTTCATACAATTATTTTCTTTTCAAATTGAGTAAAATAAATGCGGTAAAAATAAAGAAAATTGGATAAATTTTCTATAATATTAAGTAAATATATAATAGAAATATTTCAATTAATAAATATAAAAGAAATTATAACAAGCACATATTTTATGATAATATCAACATATTTTGTGAGTTTCATTTCTGCTTTACTTTGTCAAAGATAGAAGGCAGATGAAATTAATTGAAATGGCTTTTAATGTCCTACTTTTTTGCTCCATCATTAATAATGAAGACATGGCACGCGCCGTACAGTCCGTTATGAGTGAGGAGAATGGTTAATGGTGCGCGTTGAATCAGAAGGTCTGTCATTGAGTCAAGTGGCGGGGTTTCAAATTCCCTCTTGTACGTTACAAGGAGTAGGGTCGCCTGTCCAAACTCGTGGGTTTTCTCCGGATGATATGGTTTCCTCTCACTGCTAAATACCCCTACGCGCAAGCGAATTATTGAAATAAAATTGAATCATATGTTAGTCCCGAAATAACCTAGTTTGTGTCGAGTGTCTCTTACACTATTTTAATGTAAAACCCAATAGTTGTTATTATGTAATTAAATAAATCCGGGTCTTAAAAAAATCCATGAAAAAAATGGAATGGGATGTACAAAAATCATGGGATGTACGAAAATCATGAGATGTACGAAAATCATGGGATGTACCAAAATCATGAGATGTATGAAAATGATCGGATGTACGGGATCATTTTTACATTATCTGTACAAGACACATAAGCCTTAAATAGCCATAAATAAAGTTACAATAATTGATCAATTTGAATAATTTCTAGTTCAAAAGACAGGTCTTTAACCTTTATATGGGTATATTTTAATTTTCTGAATTAGATTATAAACAATGGAATTTAATGAATCAAAGAAATTGAAGATTTAAAAGGACTTTGCGTTAGGATCAGCATAAATCTCTGGTATATAATTGACTAATTACAAAGTAAAATACATTATTACTTACAGCGATAGTTGCACATTTTCTAAGAAAATCAAAACATAATTATTTCTATATCTTGTGCTTAATATGTTGTCAAACACTATGAAACAAATATAGGAATCGTTCTAGCACTTCTAGACTTAATAACAAAATTATCTCTATTGTTTTCTATACGCTCCATAGAATTGACAAAGCTCAACGTTGGTGTTTCAACTTAAATATGATATATTTGCCAATTTATCAACTGACACTAAATCAGTTTATCTATTTAATAAATCAATAAATTATGTTTATACCAATTCTAATTTTATGTTGTACAGGACGGTGGTCCTGGCAAGGAGCAGTGTGTAAGGATAGAAATAAACCTGGCAGTTGAAATTCGACGAGGAGAAGACGGAAACGCCACTGTCTGGACAAAACATTTACCCGCATCGCACACTGTATGGCGTATGCCCGACTTCATTAGCCAAATCGGTGTATAAAAGTAGGACGTTAAACCCCATTCCATTTAAGTTTCAGTACATAGTTTAGCCATCCATAATGAATAGATGTCGATCTCTTGGAGACTTGGCCCAAGACTAGCAATTATTTCTCCTGATCCCAAGCCGTTCGTCTGTGATCGAAATAGAACATTTGAAATCATATTTTCTTCCATTTCATGATTTTGAGGCGGAAGAATCGGGAAATAATGGACATCGTCTACACCACTGCCTATATATTCCTGTGAGAGAGCAGCCGCCCTTCAATATTGGAATAAGATAATTGTGACATGTTTTGCTCCTCGTGATTATAACTATTAAGATCATTGGAATGCCAAAACAGTGTTATAAATCAAGGGGCTAACATTGAAGTCAAGGAGGAAGATAATTGCTGGTCTGAATCCCTTTGAGCTATTAAAGTGTTATTTCCCTTTGATCATCTCTGCCGAATGAATGAATGAATGAATGAATGGAATGGAATGGGGTTAAACGCACCATCCGGACTAATGAAAATAGGTATATCGGGGTGGGTGGGGGGGGGGGGGGTCAGGGCAGTGGAAAAATTATTAGTCGTGTAGGTCAAGCCTCCAAGACTTCGGTTCATCGTACTACCCGAATGACTACACGCTGTTCATTACCCGACCCCGCGTCTTGCATCACAGAAAAACTAGAATTACAAAAAAAAGGGGATACCGTCTTATAATAGAGTTTCAGATGTTACCCTCACAGCGGCGCTACGGCCTACTCCTTTTCGATTTTTAATTTTCAGAGGATATTTCACATGCTGCCACTGTACAAGGATCTGTTTTTGTTTCGTCACATCCGAATGTCCAGGCGGCTATCAGACTGGGAAATCCTAAGGAACTGTCTTAACGAACACCGGGGTCGAACCCAAGACTTTCTGGTTTGCGAACCAATGCCATACGCACCACACGAATAAACGAATGCATAACATTCCCAAAAAGAAGAAGAAATCAAAACTACAATAAAAACACTGCCCTAAGTCTCACAAAACATCTCAAAATCAATCCAACACACACGTCCAGATGGCGAGTATTTTTCATTACATCTCAACTAGAAGAAAGCGTAAGACATAAAACGATATGAACACACTTTGTATACATTTCACATTCCTTCAAATAAACTAAAAATATATAAACCCTACTGCATTGATAAGGATCACATGACACGCACACACATCCCGAAACACCAAACCAACAAAAACCACGAGGGCGAACTTTCGTGGTAATATCCACAGCTAGGGTAACACACGCGTCGTCCTCATACTGTCACTCGGTCGCAAAATAATCGCCGTAATTCGTTCAGCAACTCACAAACCACCATCTCACTTGTGTTATCTTCGATTGTTCTCAACACAAACACCCCATCACAACCCAGATGTTGCGCAAACTTTTCCTGGAGTGTTGGTGGATGAGTCTGGCTACTACGTTTGGTCTGCAATGTTTTTAATTTCGTTTTCAGCCACGACATTCGCGACCGAGGAATAGCAAAATCTTTCAACGCACAGAACCAAGAAAACGCGTTGCAAGTGCATAAGGCTACCAACAAAAACCATATAAAAATAAAAATCTTTTCGTTGAAGAGATTGACAGAGAGAACACACTGAACAGAGTAGGTCTGGATATTCTGTAGTTGTCGGATTTGGAAGTCGCACATGGTAATTCTGGGGAATCTGGGTGATTCAGCAAGTTCTTCTCCTTGGGACAAGTTATGGATGACCTCCCACCCATAAAACAGGTAATCCATGGCTAACATGTGATTGAGGAGAAAGAGCAAACTGATTGACACACCGAAATAAACAAATTTGATGAAAATATACAATCCGGTGATATAGCTGCAGGTTTTCGGTCCAAAACAAAAACACATGAAAGAGGACAGTGTTTCAAATAATTTGTAGACTGTGCCGTATTTGGTCTTTTTGGACAGGAGAAGCCAACGATCTAGATAGCTGGCGATAAATCCAATTTTGTCCTTCCTTTCTTGGCTCACCGCTATTATCGAATCTTCGGCTGCGTTGATGGCCTTCTCGATGTTGACTCCCGTGACGCTATTGAGCATGCACCAGATGAGGTTGGGGATCTTGAAGCAAGCAGCAAGGAAGAGCAGAATTATAGGCACCCATTGGTAGTACTTAATCTCCTCTTCGTATCTCTCCGCCTTCTCCCAGGGGACCACTTCATCCTGGGGTATGTAATAGGTATCCTGCACCCAACAGTAGGCCTCCGTGTAGTTACAGTGGGAATCCGTAAATTCTGCTGGACACCAACAGTGGATGGGATCACCAACGTACTGCTCTAAACCCACAATGATGGCAAAGATGCAGAATACTGACACTGCCAATACATGATTCAGACGATCGGACACGTAATCACTTACACTACTGGATGACACGCCTTTAGCCAAATCACCAAGGATTAATGTAAACCTGAAGAGACAGAATACAATTGAAAATTAGGCAACAGTAGGCACGGTATAAAACAATTAAAAGGTAATGATACTTCAGAGCTGAATTGTTACAAGCATCCAGGTTTCGAAATTGGATAGATAGGTTACAAACCTATTTACAAATAGATATTTAACAATCCCCGCACAACAGTTTAACCCGAAACGTTATAAAGCTGAATAAACCACCGCCCTTTTCAACCTAAGTCTGTTATTGTATTACGCGTTTGCGGGGATTTTTAAATATCTATCAATGTCTACCATTCTTACATCTTGATGGCCCAATGAGTGAAATGTCAAAGAATCGCCACTCTATATATATACCTATGACTCGATGGGTATCTTTTGGGGTATGTAGTAAAAACAAGGCTAACCTTGGATTATGAAATTTGATATGAAGTCCTCTTTGTTTCCAGTTGCACTAATGCCGGATACAACATAGTATAATTATTTATAAAGCTTGTGATAAAATTAACTTTCAATGGGACTCGATTGGTATCTATTGCGGGGTGGGTTATATTACAAAGCTAGCCTTGGATCATGAAATTTGATATGCAATCTATTTTATTTACAGCTTCACAAATGACGGATAAATAGTGCATATATTTATAAAGCTTGTGTAATGTTGTCGAAGAGCTTTGCATTTGTTTTAATCTGTAACTTGCTGTGCTGGAATTTGTTCGTCAATAGGAAACTAGCATATCAAAATCAAGAACCTCCCAACTTTGAACATTTCCTAACTTTGGTTGCTCTCGATAAAGGAAAGAAACGGTTGCGCGAAACTTGCGCCCAGTGGCGTGCCGTTTTTTTTTTTATTTGTTTCTGGTTTTGGTACCAGGGCGACGTCAACATTTGCACCCTATACCTCAGCACGACACTGTATGCCCTCAAAACGAATGTGCGACGTTTCGACCACAGATATTTGTTTTACCCTAACACTGAACCTAACCCGGTCCCTAACCAGTTATAGCTTCTATTAGCACCAGTTATTAGTAGGCTTTATTGACGACGCCCTCTCCCGTGATATAAACATAGCCAGCCAACAGCTTTTGAAATCACCTTGACATTTGGCATTATAAACAAAGAACTCTGAATGACAGCACATATACATGTATAATAACATTTTTATATTGACAGCGTGCAGTAATATTATTCTCTATTGTTAACAATATTTAAGAAAGCCAGTGTTATGGAAACTTCCTACGCACGAGTGATAAGTTCAAGATATAATGTTCTTTCTAATTCCCTTTCTAATATCTAAACATGTTCCTATAGCAAAGGGTGGGTTTGTGGGTTGGTGGTGGAGAGGTAGTATACTCGTTTACATTATATACATATACAATATCCATGTTCCTAATTTATTTCTTGGCTTTTAGGATCCTTGTTTTCAAAACAATTCTTAACTGTCAGTACACAGGTATTTTTCTTGGGGTTGTTTTTTTTTTCAGAAAGACAAATTGAAAAATAGGAACGTGGTCCGATTATTTGAATGATTTAAATGTAAGATAAACGTTTTTCCTCGCACCAGTCAGTTGTCTTTCGTTTCTTAAATGGCTTCGTCAGATATTCTAGGTGCCTCTGACATCGCCGGACTATATTGTGCCATCATAAAACAGAGTGTCACAAACTGTAGTCGACAATAGGTGGTTTAATTTCTAGGAAATAACACATATTGCGACAACACATTGGTTTGTCCCCCCCCCCCCCCCCAACCCCGTCTCTAGCCTCTTTAATTCAATCCGCACACATCTTTATATCTATTTACAGTCATAAGTTGGATATATCCTGCTTTACTATGAGTCAGATACTATTTAATATAAGATCATACTACATACACGACCTTGATATGTTTTCCAATAAAAGAGTCCAGCTAGGTTGAAAGACAACTATTTTGTTTTATTTTGTTCTCATGTTCGGCTGATAATAAAAGAGGTGTCACAAAAACTGTAATCAGTTTAAACATACATTATACAAGAGCTAAATCTGCCTTTTGTAGGCCTTTGTTTAGGCCTGAAATGTTATATAAACTATTAATTAGACATATTAACGTATCCAGACCATAATCTACTCTCGATGTCAACGCTAGCCTGCGATATTAGTTGGATTATGAACCGATTTGCTGCATAACTTTCCTTCTCGATTTAACGATTAATTAACTTTAGTAATAATGAACGAGGCTATGCGTAACTTTCGATCGCTTATTTCTCGGTTCATAGTGGATCAATTTGACTGAAATTTTCAGCAAATTGTCTTTACATTATCTAGTTTTAAACTATTATAGTGAGAACCGCCAACTCGTTATCTGATCTCCCATAATGTATCTTTAAACGAAATGAAATGAAATGGGGTTAAACGTCCTACTGTTATGCTCCGAACTGGGCTAATAAAGACGGGCATACGCCATACATTGTGCTATGAGGGAAAGTTTGCCCGGACAGCGGTACTACGGCCTACTCTTATATCGAATTCCAACTGTCAAGTGATCTTTCACGTGCACGCCAATGTGTACACGGGACCTTGCTTTATCGTCCCATCCGAACGACTAGACTGCTGTCCTTGTCAGGCCCTCTGAAAAGGGGGAACCACGCCGAAAAATCTGGATGAACTTGCTCGGTCAATGCAGGGATCGAACACCTGACCTTCAGGCTAGCGAGCCAGCGTCTTACCAACTTAGCCACCGTGACCCCTTCAGTTTAAACGTCCCCTTTATAAATGTAACTAAACGAAATAAAATGGTGTTTAATGCCCTACTTTTCTGTACTACGGACTTAAACAATGACGAAAGTTTGCCCAGACAGTGGCGTTTCCACCTACTCTTCACTACACTGCAGCTATGAAGGGTCATTTTACGTGCACGATAATGATTACACGGGAACTAAATTTTTCGTACCACTCCAACGACTAGACGTTATTCCCTGCCAAGCGCCCCGTCCTGCACCAATATTAGGGAAAAACACGCTGAAACTTTCTCATCCAACACCGGGATCGAACCCGTACACTTTGGCGAGTCAGTGCCATCTTGACCCCTTACTGGATCTTTTGTTTCAACCTGTACATATCATTGGTGTAATAAGTTTGACGGTGTTGACTGAATACATACATGTCTACCGAATGCAACTGATGTTATGATTATTGGAGGAGGGAAACCCACGAAGTTAGGCACGCAAACTTTTCCTAGTCACTTACAAGATCGAACCCACGTCCACTTGAATCGATTACAGACCTAGTTTGTTAATGCTGTAGAATATGTCAATGGGTAGCCTATATTTAGATGCACATAAGCTTTTATTTAGACCGGGACAATACTTATTCATGTTATATCATACTATACTATTGATTTCATACTCATTGTTACAATAATAATAACAATAACAATTCATTATACAGCTCCTTACCTTGTCATTTTGATATCATTATAATTCAATATATTATTAGTTTCTTGGAACAGTAAGTTAACTACAGTTATTGTCAACTTGACATTATTGAAAAAGTCAATTTTATTTTCTCAGAATAAGCAGAGGCGTATTAATAATATTCATTCATCTCTAGAATAAGTAACCCTCAACGTCATTGTGAATTGTGAATTGCAGGGCTGGCGGAAGCAATTCTTTATTGGGGGATGGGGGCGGGGGATGAACTACCATTCTAGGACTATAGGCGAGGGTGCAGGGGCCGGGCAAGGGTCCAGGGCCCCTCTAGGCCCCCGAAGCTCTGTGGGACCTAGATCGTCAGAATAAAATTACCCAGCAATGGAGTGAAATTTTATTTCTTTTCTAAATCCCTCACCATGCAAACACAGTCGATGGCGGTTTCCTGCGATACTGAACTTGACAAATAAATGCATAAAAAATACCAAGGTTGTGGACACTCTCGAGGTCACGATTTTTATACGGTTTTGATGAAACTGACAATATATGTTTATAACCGAAAGATGTCGGTTTCTTTCAATATTGGCTCATATAGGACCGTCACTCTAGAGCTCACAGTTTTTATATATCATTGTTAAACCGTAATTACGGTTGAGTGCAAAGTTCGAAAAAATCGGACCGAAACTGCGCGACAAAATGGCTGCTACCCTTAAAACCATGTAATACCCAGGTTGGGGATGACCCAGCGGTTCGAATTTTCATCCAATTTGATATATTGGCATAACTTTCTGACTGTTCGAAATATCACGTTTTTAGCTTGTGCTCTCTAGAGGTCACCATTTTTATCTTATTTTCAAAACCTTTCAAATATCTCTTTTACATAATAATTATGTTTGAGTCCGAATTGGGTCCAAAGTAAAACAGCACCTACTCCTAAAGCTGTAAAGCGTAGATATGGGATTTATATTTCTATAAAATAAGAATTAAGAAAAAATGGCATGTTTACATTGTAATTATTAGAAAATTAAATCTAACGTCATATTTTAAGAATTTGAGATTTTAGAGTCTTTCAACCTAAACAAGATCAAGATCAATTCCCAAGTATATGATATTATATATACTATTCAAAAAAAGTAGGGGATATTTGATTTTTAAGTGTTATTAAAGTCACCTAATGAAACTGACGAAGAAACAAATGACAAAATGAAATGAAGTTCACATTCATCGATTTATTCCAAATGATCGTTAGACTAAGTAAGGCACAGACTGACCATTATAAGGGTAAAATGATACCCGGGGTCAAACAGCAAAGTTACCACAGCATCACAACCAAGTCAGTAACAGGTAAATCCTCCTCTGTTTGCCAAACAAGCATTGATCCGACGTGGCATACTCCTAATGAGACGTCTAGGGTCATTTTGGTCCAGATTGTCCCATTCCTGTTGCAACGCAGCAGCAAGTTCTTGGACATTGGCAGGACGTTGTTGACGTTGACGTAACCTCTGTCCAAGCATGTCCCAGACATGCTCGATGGGGGAGAGGTCGGGACTCAGTGCTGGCCAAGGTAATGTGGTGATGTTCTGTTGTTGGAGGTAACCTGTAACGATCCTGGCCC